TGGCAGCAGCATGAGTAGGCGGTATAGGGGCCCATGGCAGATTAGGGGCCTGGCAGCAGCTATGGGAGGCCCGTAATCTGCCAGCACCCTATGTCAAAAAATTCAACACACCAGCAGTGTGTGAGGAGACCTGAAAGTGGCACATGGCAGAGTGTGGCGATGGAGACAGCAGCAATGGGAGGCCGTACAGGGACCCATGACAGACTCTGGACCTGGCAGCAGCATGAGGAGGCGGTATATATAGGGGCCCATGGCAGATTAGGGGCCTGGCAGCAGCTATGGGAGGCCCGTAATCTGCCAGCACCCTATGTCAAAAAATTCAACACACCAGCAGTGTGAGGAGACCTGAAAGTGGCACATGGCATGAGAGACTGTGGACCTGGCAGCAGCATGAGGAGGCGGTATAGGGGCCCATGGCAGATTAGGGGCCTGGCAGCAGCTATGGGAGGCCCGTAATCTGCCAGCACCCTATGTCAAAAAATTCAACACACCAGCAGTGTGTGAGGAGACCTGAAAGTGGCACATGGCAGAGTGTGGCGATGGAGACAGCAGCAATGGGAGGCCGTACAGGGACCCATGAGAGACTCTGGACTTGGCAGCAGCATGAGGAGGCGGTATATAGGGGCCCATGGCAGATTAGGGGCCTGGCAGCAGCTATGGGAGGCCCGTAATCTGCCAGCACCCTATGTCAAAAAAATTCAACACACCAGCAGTGTGAGGAGACCTGAAAGTGGCACATGGCATGAGAGACTGTGGACCTGGCAGCAGCATGAGGAGGCGGTATAGGGGCCCATGGCAGATTAGGGGCCTGGCAGCAGCTATGGGAGGCCCGTAATCTGCCAGCACCCTATGTCAAAAAATTCAACACACCAGCAGTGTGTGAGGAGACCTGAAAGTGGCACATGGCAGAGTGTGGCGATGGAGACAACCCACCGACTGTTTTGCTCGCTGCCAAGCTGGCACCCTCTTCTCCTGATGATGCGGAAGCAATAGCCTGATGACGACGAGGCTGCCAAGTGCGATCAGCCTCATCATCATCAATTAGGGTCTCCGCCTCACTACTAGCCCCCTCGGCTGCGTGTGGGTCAGGAGACAGACCTGTCTCTAGACCGGCTACCGAGCCACTCTCCTCGCCACTACTTCTTCGCCTGGCTGCTGAGAGAGGCGGATGTCTCCCCCCGTTCCTGACCGCCCTCTGTTAGCTCTTCCTCACTGTACTGGATGACACCGGGAGCACTAGCCTCTGGCTGCGAATAGTGCTGCCTCGACCCCTTCCTCTGCTGCCACGTCTGCTCGCTCCTAAAACATTGCCTCCTCTGCCACTCCTCTGCATGTTGTCTGACATACTCTTTAAATTAAACGATTCTGTGTCCCTGAGTAACAATTCTGTGGCCCTAAGTAACGGTTCTGTGGCCCTCAGTAACAGTTCTGTGTCCCTGAGTAACAATTCTGTGTCTGTGCGAGTAACAATTCTGTGGCCCTAAGTAACAGTTCTGTGGCCCTCAGTAACAATTCTGTGTCCCTGTGTAACAATTCTGTGTCTGTGCGAGTAACAATTCTGTGGCCCTAAGTAACAGTTCTGTGGCCCTCAGTAACAGTTCTGTGTCCCTGAGTAACAATTCTGTGTCTGTGCGAGTAAAAATTCTGTGGCCCTAAGTAACAGTTCTGTGGCCCTCAGTAACAATTCTGTGGCCCTAAGTAACGGTTCTGTGGCCCTCAGTAACAATTCTGTGTCCCTGTGTAACAATTCTGTGTCTGTGCGAGTAACAATTCTGTGGCCCTAAGTAACAGTTCTGTGGCCCTCAGTAACAGTTCTGTGTCCCTGAGTAACAATTCTGTGTCTGTGCGAGTAACAATTCTGTGGCCCTAAGTAACAGTTCTGTGGCCCTCAGTAACAGTTCTGTGTCCCTGAGTAACAATTCTGTGTCTGTGCGAGTAACAATTCTGTGGCCCTAAGTAACAGTTCTGTGGCCCTCAGTAACAATTCTGTGGCCCTAAGTAACGGTTCTGTGGCCCTCAGTAACAATTCTGTGTCCCTGTGTAACAATTCTGTGTCTGTGCGAGTAACAATTCTGTGGCCCTAAGTAACAGTTCTGTGGCCCTCAGTAACAGTTCTGTGTCCCTGAGTAACAATTCTGTGTCTGTGCGAGTAACAATTCTGTGGCCCTAAGTAACAGTTCTGTGGCCCTCAGTAACAATTCTGTGTCCCTGAGTAACAATTCTGTGGCCCTAAGTAACGGTTCTGTGGCCCTCAGTAACAATTCTGTGTCCCTGTGTAACAATTCTGTGTCTGTGCGAGTAACAATTCTGTGGCCCTAAGTAACAGTTCTCTGTGGCCCTCAGTAACAGTTCTGTGTCCTGAGTAACAATTCTGTGTCTGTGCGAGTAACAATTCTGTGGCCCTAAGTAACAGTTCTGTGGCCCTCAGTAACAGTTCTGTGTCCCTGAGTAACAATTCTGTGTCTGTGCGAGTAACAATTCTGTGGCCCTAAGTAACAGTTCTGTGGCCCTCAGTAACAATTCTGTGGCCCTAAGTAACGGTTCTGTGGCCCTCAGTAACAATTCTGTGTCCCTGTGTAACAATTCTGTGTCTGTGCAATTCTGTGTCTGTGCGTAGTAACAATTCTGTGGCCCTAAGTAACAGTTCTGTGTCCCTGAGTAACAATTCTGTGTCTGTGCGAGTAACAATTCTGTGGCCCTAAGTAACAGTTCTGTGGCCCTCAGTAACAATTCTGTGTCCCTGAGTAACAATTCTGTGGCCCTAAGTAACGGTTCTGTGGCCCTCAGTAACAATTCTGTGGCCCTAAGTAACGGTTCTGTGGCCCTCAGTAACAATTCTGTGTCCCTGTGTAACAATTCTGTGTCTGTGCGAGTAACAATTCTGTGCCCCTAAGTAACAGTTCTGTGGCCCTCAGTAACAGTTCTGTATCCCTGAGTAACAATTCTGTGTCTGTGCGAGTAACAATTCTGTGGCCCTAAGTAACAGTTCTGTGGCCCTCAGTAACAATTCTGTGTCCCTGAGTAACAATTCTGTGGCCCTAAGTAACGGTTCTGTGGCCCTCAGTAACAGTTTCTGTGTCCCTGTGTAACAATTCTGTGTCTGTGCGAGTAACAATTCTGTGGCCCTAAGTAACGGTTCTGTGGCCCTCAGTAACAATTCTGTGTCCCTGAGTAACAATTCTGTGTCTGTGCGAGTAACAATTCTGTGGCCCTAAGTAACAGTTCTGTGGCCCTCAGTAACAATTCTGTGTCTGTCCCTGAGTAACAATTCTGTGGCCCTAACTAAAGTTTCTGTGGCCCTAAGTAACAGTTCTGTGGCCCTCAGTAACAATTCTGTGTCTGTCCCTGAGTAACAATTCTGTGGCTCTAACTAAAGTTTCTGTGGCCCTAAGTAACAATTCTCTGGCACTCAGTAACAATTCTGTCTGTCCCTGAGTAACAATTCTGTGGCCCTAATAACGTTTCTGTGGCCCTAAGTAACAGTTCTGTGGCCCTCAGTAACAATTCTGTGTCTGTCCCTGAGTAACAATTCTGTGGCCCTAACTAAAGTTTCTGTGGCCCTAAGTAACAATTCTCTGGCACTCAGTAACAATTCTGTCTGTCCCTGAGTAACAATTCTGTGGCCCTAATAACGTTTCTGTGGCCCTAAGTAACAATTCTCTGGCACTCAGTAACAATTCTGTCTGTCCCTGAGTAAGAATTATGTGGCCCTAACTAGCGTTTCTTTGTCCCTAAGTAACGATTCTGTGGCCCTCACTAACAATTCTGTGTCCCTGAGTAATGGTTCTCTGTCCCTAAGTAACGTTTCTCTGTCCCCAAGTATCGTTTCTGTGGCCCTAACTCTGTCCCTAATACAGAGCGGTCTGCCTCTGTTCAATGACTGCAGGCAAATGAAGAATTCCAAAATGGCCGCTATTTATAGCTCGACCATTACACAGTGCTGGCTGGCTGGCTGCTGATTGGCTGATGCGATCACATGTCATTGAGGAATGCATTATGGGTCAGCGCGCCTTGTCTGCGCGCCTTCCCAGACATCCCCGCTCCGTCGCCGCACATGTCCGCCGCCATTTTCGGAAAAATTTCGATTCGCGCGTCCGAAGTAGGCTATTTTTCGGATTCGGCGCGAATCGAAATTTTTCCGATATTCGACTCGAATTCCACTTCGGCTACTTCGATTCTCTCATCTCTATATAACAACTAAATAACAGCGTATGCATTGTAACATTACATAAAGCTGTAGAGTACAGTATGCAGGTGTAATAATGCTTAATATAATGTCCATGTTTGCAAGACCAGCAAATAAAATATGACACCACATGTAGCAGGCCATTTAAGCAACAATTGCAGACTTAAGGCTGGGCCAAGTATTTAATACAAGAGCTTTGAGCACTGTTTTTTATTGATGACATAATAAACAATTAAACAGTTACTGTACATGTCCTTAAGCATCTCCCCCCACACAGTCCACTTCAGAACCGCATTGGAAGGAAATTCTTCATATGTAACACTGGATGCCATTCAAAAAACAATCATGAAGGTTCTTCTGGCCCTGATAGCAGTTATTGGGGAAATGGGAGTGCAAATGTATAACCACCAAGGCAATATCATGATAGTGGGCAAACCAAGAGAAGTGATGATAGTCAACCGAGACCAAATGTTACATTTAAAGCCTAACCAAAATCAGGTGCATCTCAATGTGCAGGGAAGATGCATCTTTAGCGGAAGAAAGTTACTGCATTTAATTAGAAGATAAAGGACATGCAAACGTGCCATTTTCTGTCAGTCCAACAGTTATTGTCAGTTCTACTGGCTACTATTCTGGCAATTTCATGGGCAAGATGGCATCTCTGGAGGCTCCAGTTATCTTTTTGCATCTTCTTAACTGCACTGAGACAAGCACCTTTCAAATATGGATCTCAGAACAAGTGAAAAGCGCCTTTTCCTGGTAAACTTTTTGAACTGTTTTGGCTTGGGGACGTCCCTCAGCCCAGGAAACTAGATTTTGGTAACCTCAGATGCCAGTCTCTCAGGCCCCATGACCCTCAATCACAATGATTTCTTGCTGATATACTTCCCCAGAATCAGGATCCTTGTGCACTGGGAACAGATTTGTTAGAACACAAATGAACTATTCTGCAAATTTACACCTTTTCCCATGTGCTAGAATATCCAACAAAAGAGAAGGTAGTGTTGCCCTGAAGGCCTTGGTTTCTGTTATAAAGGATAAAGGCTTTAGACCTATGGCTACTTTCCTTGGCAGAGGGCCATCTTGTCAGGTTCAGTGTATTCACTCATGTCCAGAAAGACTAAAACTAGCAGCCCAAAAAAGGAGGTAATATCTTCAATTATTATATTATATTTAGCCTTTAAAACATACACCTAAAATTATATCTTCCTTAATATATTACCTGTAAGCTACCAATTGATTACAAACTGCACAACAAAGCTAATTTGTTTTTGGACATATCTACATTAAGCATACAAGGCACCCAATGTTCATTGTTAGCATTCAATAGAAAACCCTTCATTAGTGTGTTTTTGTAAATATTGCACCCACCTAAAGTATTGCTAAAAGAGACTACCAAATTTGAGACCAATGAGTAGTTCACCATCTGTTAACTATGTTAAGTGTACAGTATTTGTGAATATAGTACAGTCACTATAGGAGTATTTATATACACTGTACACAGCTAGATATGAAGACAACAGAGGTACAGTCAGGTCCATAAATATTGGGACATCGACACAATTCTAACATTTTTGGCTCTATACACCACCACAATGGATTTGAAATGAAACAAACAAGATGTGCGTTAACTGCAG